TAGATGCAGTCAATGGTAATGTAGATGTTGTTTGTTTTATCATCGAGAATATATTATCTTTCAACTTTATTATCACTAGTAATTAAGAGACACGTGGAAATGGCAAAATCCGTGAAATTCGTACAATTAAATACTCCAAACCAAAACTACAACACTAGTATACTCCAAACCAAAACTACATGGTAAAAACCAAAACCATGGATCCATTCCTCTATCGACTATTCAATTGTAGCATCTCCGATTCCACTTCATATCTTATTCTAAATTCTATTTTTAAATAAAATCTTTTCTAATTCCACTCCATCCAAGATAGAGTAACTCCATTTTCAACTCCAAATATAGAGTAATCTCATTTTCCACTCCATTTTGGAGTTGAATTTTTTTTATTTATAAAATATTCCTTCAAATTTTAAATAAATTAATTTTAAGAGTAAATAATTATTTTGGTGATGATTTTTTATTTATTTGATACTATTTTTAATTAAATATTTACGAATTTGTCAAAATCACAAGAATTTGCAACAAAATANTTATANTATATTATAATNTGTGAAATTGTGATTATGTGTAAGTTTTTTTTTGTTAAAAATGTGTATGTACGTCTAAGTTAATTTATGTTATTACGAAGTTAACTTTTTAAAAATATATATTTTAAAGTTATTATGTATGTATGTGTTAATTAAAAATAATAAAACATAATGTTACAACTTTAATTTATAAAATAAAAAATTTTGAGGTCAGTTTGTAAATTTTATAAATAAAATGTATTGTTAGTAATTAATAATAAATAGAAAAACGAAATATAATTAAAATATTATTTTTTGAGTGAGAAATAGAGTAATACATTGGAACAAAATCTAACTTCATTTTGGAATTATTCTATTTTGAAATGAAAAATAGAATAATACATTAGAAATACTATTAGACTATTCACATGTGGCTAACAAATGCCTTGCCAAAATTCATAACCCAATTATGACAAAACTAAACTGAGAGGTTAAAACCCTCTCATTCTCAAAACATTATGTCAACCAAGAAGGAGCACCTATGGCAACATTAGAATGCCTCATATCGTCACGAATTGTACTTTGAGTAATGAAATGAGCACCTTTGTTAGTTGATGTCTCTTCCACATGCATTCTCCAATTGTTGAAGGCTCTTAAAAGTTTAAGCAAATCTGCAACTTGAGAGATAAAAGAATTCATGCACGTGGCCTTGAGATTGCTCCCAAAAGATCAGAATCTTCTGATGAAGTATCACTTTATTTATCTTGTGATCAGACAAACTTGCTAAAACCCACATCATAGAGATGCCTATGAAGAGAGGATAATTGATATATCCACAAAAGGAAAAAAAAAGGTGTTATGATTGGATATAAACCAAGTACATATTCACCTATCTATTCGCTGAAGTACTTTTTGCATATTTAACAATAAGTTTTTAAATAATAGTATCCGTATTTTTTTTTCTCTGCCACAAAATTAATAGTATGGTTTTATACTAATCTAAGACTCTAAACGTTCCGTAGTAGGGGTACCAAACAATTTTACCAACATTTTCTTTTTCCCCATCGGATTGAAGAAGATTATCATGGGCTTTATGCAAAATTTGAATAAATGGTCCCAATTTGTTTGAGATACTATAACAATTTAAATACAATTAAAAGTCTTAAGGATGAAAAAAGTAGTTTTTTGAAAAATAAAAAACCAAAAACTAGTACTAGAATAATAAAGTACATACAATCAAGGACTAAAAAGGCAAAGAGCAACACAAACTTACCCACGTGGATTTCTTCATGCGGTACATGTGGCAATCCTGTCTCTTAAAACGCTTCGTTTCACTCAACACATTTTTTTTTTCAACTCTCCTGCTTTA